ATTCACTTTCGCTTTGACGTTTGAGACTTAGCAACGAGTCGCTTACAATACAAATGATACGTGTAATTGTATCCCTTTAAGATTCCGGGGTAGAATAGGTCTTCAGCAACCCATACTTGCCGTAAAAGGCGACTATGCTTGTCGTAAAAGGCGACTAACGGGATCGGGTGGTCAGGCTCGCTGACTTGGTTGATAAATGTCATCGATCCCAATTGCGTAGATCGATGCTCATGATGTCAATCACTGGATTGTCTTGTCCAGACTCGATTATTTTACAGACCGCCTTCATATCGCTGGCATATTGCTGAGTGCGGCGTTAAACAACAAACAAACAAACAAAGAAACAAATGTATCCCTTTAAAAATAGATTCGAGTCCTGCTGGCCGGGCTGCTGCGCCGCATCTTTTGTATATTTCTTCAACAGACAGTTGCCACATATGCCGTCAATTTAGGATATAAGCGAAATGTATTTCGTTATTATTACTACGAACGTGCGAGAACATCTATCCGAGGCAGGATCGTCCACTAGGCTTTTTAAAAAAAAAATATTTTATCAAAGTCTAGTTTCCAAGTAGAACTAGGCTTTGATACAGGCTAGTGGACACGCTTGCCTCGGGAAGATGGTGCGAGAATTGAAAACGTATTTTATGTTCGAAATTAAGCTGATTATTTTATTAAAAACGATTACGGATGAATTGATACGATTGTAATAAACGTACTACTGTTTCTTCACGTCTTTCTGGCCCTGGGCCCGCTTGCACAAAACGATCTTTGCGCTAAGACTATTGTAAGCCTATGTTAACGTATGGGAGTTAAGATCATCGTAGCGCTAAGGTCGCTTTGTGCCAGTGGAACCTGGACATGCTGCGGTTCCTACTATTTAACGACCGGGGAACGTACAGGAGTTAAATAACGCAAAAAGTCAGTAAATAAGACATGTCGTTCTCATTTTGGTTCGATCGTGAGAATATCCCTGTTAATGGCGTACATAGATATTGTTATACAAGCATGATTTTACGAAACGAGTTACATAATTCTTGTATTTACCGAGCTAGGGTAATATCGTAAAATCAGTTTGAAACACATAAGAGTGTAACAATTTCATTATTACTACCACTATATGCACTGTCCACGACCACCGCCTTGGAAGACAATCTTCAGCTATGACGTCGTTTCTTGTGTGACGTCATTGCTACCTTACGTCACAATAACATTCGTATGACGCAATGACGTCAACAATGCCGTCCAGATGACGTAAACAAATTTGTACTAGTGCACATTCGATTTTTCTGAACTCGGATATTTCGTGAGGTTTCAAATGTTATAAATTTAGCGCGGTTAAATCTACAGGTAACCTAGCTCTACATTGAAAACACATTATGTTTATTTCCATTGTACAATGACTAAATAAAACGCGAACTCTTTGGTGTTAGCAAATAAAACTGAGTGAAGCGGCATGGGTTGTGTCCAGTGTTTTGAGTGGGTTATCGATCTGAATTACGGAATCACCGAACACAATATGGCGCTGTATATACTCAAGCAGTTTGTTTACACCGTAATACTTCACTCGAACATTTGACAGGCATTGAAAGCATTTAAGCACGGCAACTTGGTAAGCTAACGTGAGGTGGGCATTCCTAAACAAAACAAAGCAAGCTTTGCAAGGCTTTCGCTCTACATTGCACGTCACCATTATGACGTCATATCGCTCATTGTGACGCCAAAGATATGACGTCACAGTCGTATATAGGAAAGCGCCAAAATTCCAAGTTCCCTAGCTGTTGTCTCCAAAACGTAAATGCATTCCCTTTGTAGATTTCTATCGTGTTTTCTGCACGAAATGTATTGCCACACATCCTTTGAATATTGTAGTAACAGCATCTGTGCATTTTGTAACCTGTAATTGTAGATATAATTATTAAAATATGCCTTCCGACAATGACTGAAAAAAGTGCTATTAGCTTCCGCGGTGATGCGGCCGTAAAGCCAGCTGTTTCAATCAGAGGGGGTTTATTGTTATAAGGGTAACGCTATTTTTCAGGGCATTATCATTTGCAGAAGCCCGAGGTCTTCCATTAACTGCCCGACGAAGGAGGGCAGTTGAAAAGACTGAGGGCTTCTGCAAATGATAATGCCCTGAAAAATAGCGTTACCGTTATTATAGCTAAAATGGATGGAATTTGTTATCAAATAAAAAGAAACAACAATGTCGATTTTGAAACATTTACTGCAATCAACACGAATGTCACTGACCCACTTTTACAAATATGGAAACGTCATAGAACAAACCAGATGACGTCACTATTGAACGTTACGTCACCTATCCCTATCCTATGACGTCACCTAACAACGGGCGTGATAATGGCCCGTCGTCAAGTAATATGAGGGCATTATCAAGTTACAGTGGCCCACTCATTTCTGATAACATGCGGGCGTTTTTATGATAATTCTATCCATTTTAGCTATAAGATTTAATAGCCTCTGATTGACCAATCAGAATCGAGTAAATTCCAAATTCATGGTAGAATAGGCGATGAAGATTTTTTACAATCCAACAATGATTTAGAGAATATAATACTTTGAGAGGCCAAACTGACCAATTTACGAAATTTAGTAATGAACAAAAGAAATTTCAAATAAGAACTAAGTGATGTTGTTATGTTATCAATATTCCACAGGAAATGGGTAGTTCCTAATTGAAAGTGAAAGAATTTGGAGAATATGATTCCTATAAGAAGAGTGAGTGAGTATGGTTTTACGCCGCTTTTAGCAATATTCCAGCAATATCAGGGCGGGGGACACCAGAAATGGGCTTCACACATTGTACCCATGTCGGTATTCGAACCCAGGTCTTCGGCGTGACGAGCGAACGCTTTAACCACTAGGCTACCCGACCGCCCCTATAAGAAAAAGAAATGTATGTAAATAGAAATGATCAAGAACAATCGCGGTGGAATGAAGCACAATTGTGTAGGAGATATGCAAATAAGAATAACCATGACTTGTGTCAACAAATGGGAGACTGATGTAAAAACACGAATATCATTTCTAAAAAAAATAAATTACGGCGCCTTATTATAATCAATACAAGAACACAATTACATACATAAAGCCTTATGATTCAGTATTATTCTCCCGGAATCCCCCGGCGTTATTTTCTAGGACCGCATGCTGCTACTCGTCAAAACGAGCGGACGAGTAGATTTTAGTTATTTTGGTAATGTCACTTCTACGAGGGGATATCAAAAAGTATTCCTGGTCGAATGGTACAATGCGCTAGCGCTACACCTGATGTACATGAATGTCTTAGCTACTGATGCTATGTAGAAACATATTGCTGGCTGCAATTATTTTGTCACAATACTTCGTGGAAGAGACCTACCCTTAGTGAATTGGCAAAATGGACAAATCTGAGTACAGAGCGGTGATAAAGTTCCTTGTCCGAGAGGGTCAACCTGCCAAACAGGTGGAAGAGCGATTGACTGCAGTTTATGGAGAGTCTTCCCCATCGTCTGCAACAATCAAACGGTGGGTGAAGGAATTTCAGCGTGGCAGAGAGAGCTTAGAAGATGATGCCCGGTCCGGACGGCCATCAACCAGTACCAGCCCTGAAAACATTGACACTGTACACGAACTAGCGATGTAAAACCGCCGTATTACTTTCCATGAGCTAGAAGAAACAATAGGCCTATCATATGGATCCATACATAATATAATTCATGGCAAACTCCACATGTCCAAAGTGTGTGCCAGAATGCTTACAGATGACATGAAGCTATCAAGGGTCACCATCAGTGGAGCCTTGCTAACTCGGTACAACGCCAACCCAGATGATTTTCATTTTAGGATTGTAACCAGTGATGAAACCTGGGTTTATCATTATGATCCGGATAGCAAACAGGAGTCGACGGAATGGAAACACGCCACTTCTCCAAAGACAAAGAAGTTCAAAGCCACCAAATCCACCAAGAAGGTTATGATGACCATCTTCTGGGACAGCAAAGGAGTGATTCACATCGACTACCTGCCCCATGGCACCACAATGAATGGGGAGTATTACGCCAAGTTATTGAAGCAGGTGCGCCAATCCATCAAGGTGAAACGCCGTGAAAAAATCCGTCGTGGGATTCTGCTTCACCAGGACAACGCACCAGTCCACACGTGTTACAATGACAGCTGTGCAAGAATGTGGCTACGAACTCCTCCCTCACTCACCCTATTCTCCAGACCTAGCCCCTAGTGACTTCTCTTTCCCAGGCTGAAAAAACACCTCCGGGGCCGGAGATTTGAAGATGACGATGAGCTAACTGCTGCTGTGGAGGGTTGGTTGGGGGACCAGAATGTTGACTTCTACCGATCAGGCATCACTGACTGGCAAACTAGGTGGAACAAGTGTGTGGAGTTGGGAGGGGACTATGTTGAAAAATAAAGTAGTAACAATCCAATTCTTTTACTTTTTCTGTGTGAGGCTCAAAACTTTTTGATATCCCCTCGTATGTCGCTCCTGTTGACCAATCAGGTTCCACCTGTCATATTACTGGCATATGCTTTTAACAATAGGACGGCGCCTTGTCAAGACGATCTGATCGATAATCAAGATCTACATTATTATAGAACGGGTCTTGCCTCGCGAAGTACATCAAATGACTTTGAGCACCTTGGTTAAAAACATGAACAGATTTGGAAAATAATCTGTCGGCGATTATTTTTATCTTATTAATGACAAACACGTTTGAGTTGAAAATGAAATACAGTCTGTTTAAGGTACTCGTGAATAAAAGCCGCTCTCAGCAAGGTATCTTCTGAAAACGTTTGCCAGGGGGGCCGACAAAATCTTCATCCTTTCTTTTTTAATTGTTGACTTTATCAAAGGATGTTAGTCTTCTAAGTGTATAAACACGGTATCTATTCAATATCCAAGATGAATACTCTTTTTATCTATGATATGTGTGATAAAATACCAATGGTACGTAATAGTTACCAATATATTTTGGTTCCAGGGTCATCTGGTGGCACGGGTGGCCCAGTCGTCTAAGGCGCCGCAATTCGCTGTACAGAGTTGCGTCCCTTGGTCAGACCGGGAACCTATGATGGTGAGTTCGAATCCAGGTTTGCCCCAATTATAATTCTAGATTTGTCAGCACCATACTCATGCTAGTGGGTTTCACGAAAGTGGTAAACGTCTGAACCCCGCACCACTTCGGGTCTCCCTCCAACATTAAGGTGACACGCCGTGATATAACCCGAACACTTTAAAAATTGGCGTTAAACCCAACTCATTCACTCCAAGGTAATCTGGAATGGAATGTTTGTGGTCTTTTTATGTTTGTTCTCTTTAATTCAATTTCTAATTATTGATTTTTTAATGTTACATGATATATATTACTGATGAACTATTACCCATGAAGATCCGAGTTAGAATCGGTCTTCAGCAACCCATAATCGCCGTAAAATGCGACTAATACCATGTCGTAAAATGCGACTAGTACCGTGTCGTAAAATGCGACTAATACCATGTCGTAAAATGCGACTAATACAACGTCGTAAAAGGCGACTAATACCATGTCGTAATAGGCGACTAATACCATGTCGTAAAAGGCGACTAATACCATGTCGTAAAAGGATACTATGCTTGTCGTAAGAGGCGACTAACGGGATAGGGGGGTCAAGCTCGCTGACATGGTTGATGCATGTCATCGTATCCTGATTGCGTGGATCGATGCTCATGATGTCAATCACTGGACTGTCTGGTCCAGACTCGATTAATTACAGACCGTTTTCATATAGCTGGAATATTGCTGAGTGCGGCGTTAAACAACAAACAAACGAACAAGTCTACTGAAATACAGAAACCGAACTGAATTATGTAATGACATGTTGTGTAACAGTCCTGTGGTAACAGCTACTTGACGACTCCATTATGTTTTCCCACTTCTTCTCACCATCATGTGATATGACTCAATGCTTGGGAGGGGCGGTCGGGTAGCCTTGTGATTAAAGCGTTCGCTCGTCACGCCGAAGACCCGGGTTCGATTCGCGACATTGGTACAATGTGTGAGGCCCATTTCTGGTGTCCCCCGCCGTGATATTGCTGGAATATTGCTAAAAACGGCGTAAAACCATTCTCACTCACACTCACTCGCTACTAGTGTCCATTTGGCGAACCGTATTATGTCTGTACACTAACATTTCACCAGATAGAGTATCTTAGATATTTATCAAAAGGATGTCAATGCTACATGTAGTCAATGAGAAAGGATACATAGCAAGTCCATATAATGAATAGAGAAGTGGTGGTGTTTCTATGTTTTCCTGGTGTATACAGGTATATCCGCCATGCATCTTTCTTGCTGCTGCTCGCATACCACTTATCACGGGTCCAATATTACGTTTCTACTTTCAACTTCCTTATTTGAAACATGAGCTTAGTAATTACCATGCGCATTTGCTAATTATAAAGCGTATATAAAATGACGGGAAATTGTTAATGCGTATTCATACCCAAGAATCTGTGCCATGAGTATCACCCGACGTTGAAATCACTCAACCGTAAAATGGTGATAGATAAAGAGGACGCGTAGTTTCAAAGTTCTGTAGTAAGGTTGAAATATTCAATAAAGTTTCCACTGGACTTAAATGATTGGATTACATGTTTTTATAGTGAAATAATTTACAAATGTTTAAAGCATTTGGGAAACATTTAAAACTACGTTTGAAATATGTTACTCGATGCTTCTACGTGTATGTGTAATTCCCCAATTTCTGTGAAAACACCGAACTTCAGTGATCGATTAACAGTTAAATAATGTAGAAACGTAAACGTTTCAACCGATATCATAACAATCAACCTTTTCTCTATGTCTATGCAAATTATCAGAGGTGTACATAAACACCTTCACAGTTAACTTTTAACTTTTATTAACCATAATAACAGGACGTTTAAAGTTATGTGGAGTTACATCCCTTTACTCGGGGCACAAATATATGTATAGGTCAGTATCCACTGGCGAGGACGCTCAGTGGGGGTAGGCAATTAAGCCGGTGCATCCGGTCATGTACAGGAATACCCAGGCAGAGGTTGGCAAGTAGTCTAAGCCACATGTTATTTCATGGGATAACGAGGGGACATGATATATACAAAGTAAATATAGTATTCCAAGAAGTTTATTTACCACATTATTTAAACAATCACAAATCATTATCACAGGTCATTGCATTATACACAATACATTTTAGTCTGGACAAGTTTTTCACACATCTTTGAACTTGAAAACAAATGTTGGTTAGATATCATTAGTTATGATTATACATTTGTCAGTTTCCTGACGGGCAGATTAAATATGCATTGCTGAATGGATCAGGTCAATTAGTTTCTCCCTGGAAGACACTTTAGTGTGTACTCCAAGTGAGACAAGTTTGTCTCGCAAGTCAGCCACACACATGTCATCTAAATGTGACTGAGTACTGGGAGCAACGCTGCTGATGTCATTTTGTATATTGGCCCTCTTTGCGCTTCTGGCCTCTTGTAGCTCAGATTCCCAGTACTCAAGCTTACGTTTTGTGTAAGGTCGTTTTGTCCTAGCCAAGTGTGACTGACTTTCGACACGCTTTCTGACAGTCATAGTCTCAATGGGACCGTCCCACTTTTGTGTTTTCTGCTGGTGAATCCTTTTGATATCGTCATTTATTTTGTCAAGGGCCTGTCCACTAAATTTGCCAATATTCCCGTGCCTCGACATGAAAACGGGAACATGGTACACTAAGCAGTGCATGTAGGGAGTGATGTTCTTTTTCAAGCAGCCCCTCCTTTTCTCCCCTACTCTAAGAAGTAACTGTATCCACTCCCTAGCCATGTCGTGCAACTGTCGTGCGTCACTACTTTCCCCGCCAACTACGAACTTGAAAATGTCCCTGAACCCTGTCCAAACGTTGATTAAGTCTGTCTCCGTGTCTGGAGTCAGTCGACCGTGAAGTTTGTCAGGCAGTTGATTGAGAACTTTTTTCTTGTTGTCCCCTGAAAGGCTGGTCCACTGTAGACCCTTGCTGTCCCATACACTCAGGTAACACGCGGGATAAGTTGAATGGAAACACATTGTATGTCATAATTTTAATAATCTCCATGTCTGATGGTCCCTCTCTTAGAACATGAGGATATAAATACAATGAAGTGAGTAGTCATTAAATATAATCAGATAAATACATTTCATTTTTATACTAGCCCTTTGGGCTTGTTGGGTTTTTGAGTTGATTTCAATCCAGTTATTAGTTAATGTTCAATACAAAATATTCATCTTATTGAGTCATATATATCCAAAATAATGTTGGTAAGTGAGTGAGTAGGGTTTACGCCGTTTTGAAAGTATGTCAGTTATATCACGGCGTGTCAGCTAAAAGTGGGAGGAAAGCCCGAAGTGATGCCTGGCCAGCTAGAAACATACTCGGCGAGAACCGGCACTCGAACTCACAATTGTATGTTTCTGGTGTGCCCAAGTGACGCAAGTCGACACAGCTAATTGCGGAGACCCACACAACTGAGACACCCGTGCCCCCATAATATTTACGAAAACAATTAATTGAAACACCACGTATGGATAACCGTTAACCATAATAATTAATAAATATCTTACATGAACACATAAAGCAGTATCTATAAATATAGCTCTTAATATTTTTTCTTTGTCTGAATATTTCTGATATGAGCATAACTATGGGAATTATCAAGAAGATTTTCAAAACGCAAGTACAATTTATCGCAAGTCGGACAGAAATCTTGACAAATTTTGGTTGATATCATAAACAGAGAACTTCTTATCTTGATAATTTTTTATTTTAGTTTCATAGACTTTTTACGCAATAATTTAGGTTTTTGGTACATTTCGCAAAAGTTCCAGTTGTTATAATGCATAAAATAACCGATCCTGCATTGCGGATTGTCAATTTCCTATTTTGAATGGTTTGTTTTCGGAGATGTGACATGTTTTGTCAACCAGACAACTTAAACTATTTGTCGAAAGTATAGACTATAAAATACATATTGACTGACTGACTGACTGATATAGATTTAACGTGCGCTTTCCGACTGCAGCGTATTTCGCACACGGGCCTGGCCGGACCAATAATACATATTAAAATCAATAAGTTAATATATCAACATACCTGGGGAGACTTGCGCTTCCAAATGAGTCTCTCTACGGGGTAGATTCCAACTGTGACACGATTGCTGACAGATTTGTTGAAAGAAACAGTCTGTCCTTCATGGAGCACTGTAGTTTGTGACAATTCGAGGGCGAAGTTCCATGTGTAACATTTGGCGAACTGATGACACACACCAATGAGATTCCACACGCTTGTAGAGCTTATTCTTTCAATCCAAATGATACCAAACATAAACAACATTTCAGTGCTTTCATTGTCCCCTATGTCGTAACGAGGATAACAGTACAAATATTGTTGTCATAGAAATTAGAGTAGGACAGGTGTAACTCTAATGGACCAAGTCATGTTTTCATATCAATAAAGGATAGTGCAGGTACACATAATCGTGTATATATAAATTTGAAGATTATCAACATTTCCCGGCTAAATTAACATTGTTTGTAATGTTAAAAACGACAGCAGTGGACATTAATGGTTATGATACTTTGTATGAAGGTCTTATAGACTGGTTTTAGAATGGCTCAGATGACGCAATAAATACAATCGTTGCTGTGCCTTTTGTAAATGTAATCTGTATTAACATTCAATGTTAGATTGTGATCAGGCTTATTTCATTTATCTCATAATCGTTTCTTTGTTCCCTAAACATTCAAACGCAAATAGGTTTCTTGACACCAATTCAGAAATTATTAAACAGTTTAGCGAGCGCTGCGATATCTGAACATTTCAGTGATGCAATTATTAACAAAACTGCGACAATGGAGGAAGCCATTTATCGAAAAATATTTTAGCTAATACTATCTTATAATAAACAGCAATATGAGTATGCATATTGATGGCTTTATTCAGTTGAGTATGCAACCTGGTATTATCAATAATATAGCAGGAGTAGAATCTTATTCATTGTTATATTTATTCCACTACCAATACAATGTTTTCGAGAACTAAATGTAACCACAAGCTCCCGTGATGAAGCACACTGCAGGGGTCTGGTCATGGGCTCTTGGTCCTAAGCCAAACCACATGTGCTGTTGTCTATATTGAAGGGCATTAAAATAATCAGAGGGTAGAACCACGCTTCTTATGACAAGACGAGTAACATGCCCTTGTTTGTACGGTTGGTTGCACATATGTGTGTATGAAGCCCCAAGTGAGCCATGGTAACACATCCGCATCTTCTTGGTTAATTTAATTTGTTTGTTTGTTGTTTAACGCTGCACTCAGCAATAATCAAGTCTGGACCGGACAATCCAGTGATATCATGAGCATCGATCTACGCAATTGAGTTAATTTATATCTTGTATCAGTATATTATTCCCAATCGAGAAAAACAATACATGACATAATAATACAATATTAATGGTTATAATTTTTCGGAAACAACAACAGAAAACCGCTAATAAATATAAACATCAAAAAAGCAAATTACAAGAAACACAAACAAACGATGAAAAATAATGACAGCGTTATGACTTAGGGCCATTTTACGTGTCTAAGTGGTTATCATCACTGAGATTGGTTGCACCCCTTAACCGTTCCAGGATCCGCATATCACAGACTCGTTCTTTCCTCGGTCAGTCAGCACTATACCTGTGCGCGTGGGTTTCACAAACGTAGTAAACGAAGGAAACCTGCGTTTATTTGGCTTTTCCTCCCACTTTCTCAGGAGATGTAGCTTAATAAAGTGCGATTATACTTGCTCCCAATTACATTTTCTCTAAATTTGTAAAATCTCCATTTTCACTTTTCTGTCAGTGATCGTGCTATAAGTCCAAACTCTGCTCGTGAAGGAAATAAAACATATGTTTCTTGTCATTCGAATGAACATTTCCGATAACAATCATAGAAATGTTACCATAACTGTCTAAAAATGTGCTTCTTGAACAAAAACTAGCTCAGAAAGAACGTTAGGACAGCCACTAAAGCGTTTGCTCGTTGCCCCGAGGACCAGCGTTCCACTCATTCATGACGATTCGTAATAAACACCAGTGAATGTATGAAACACGTGTCGTGTCCCCAATTGTTAAACAACTGGAACATTGCTTAAAGCGGCATAAAACCTTACTCACTCATTCACTATACCGTTATCTTCCTAGCACGCTGATGCAACAACTACCCAGATGTGAATTATTCCTATGGACGCCAGGTTGCGAACCGTTATTTATCTCCTCATGACATGTCTATACTTGATCACGGTGAGTGAGTGAGTTGGGTTAACACCGCTCTGAACAGTATTCCAGTTACGTCACAGAATGTCAGCTTTATGTACGAATCAAGCCACGCCCGTCATCCAGCTTTAGGTACACCAGCGTTTGCTCTGACCAATAAGCGCTCAGGTTAAATCCCACTACGGTAATATTTCCCGTGCAACATATGCTGGAGTCTTGCGGCATCTACACATTGCTTTTGTTTCAGGTAACGGTTGGGTTCGCACAAAAATCACACAAGGAGTAGAGCTCATTTGACTTTAGACTAACATTTAGTCTCTGAAATGAACATATTTTACAGATAAATATAATAAAAATGAGCCCAGAGATTCTCTTCATTTCCTGATACTGTGGTAATCTAGACTCAGGGCTGTATTGGATGTACTTGTTTCAGGGTCTGTATGACAGACTAGTGAGGTATGTATATGTCCCCATTTCATTACCTGTGAAGATCCTGTTTAGAACTGATCTTCAGCAACCCATTCTAGTAGTAAGAGGCGACTAACGGGATGGGGGTGGTCGGGCTCGCTGACTTGGTTGATGCATGTCATCGTATCCCAACTGCCCAGATCGATGCTCATAATGTCAATCACTGTGCTAGTGCTAGTTTCGAATATGTACAGACCGCCATCATCTAGCTGGATTATTGCTGAGTGCAGCGTTAAACAACAAACTACTTGACTTAAATTATACACAAGCATATTGTCATTAGGATTATAACCCCGATGATGATTATTATTAGTTATCGATTACATTTACAAACAATGTATTTGCTAGGTTCAACATTTTCAGCCAATGATACTGCCTCTCCCTCGCACCTCCACGACCACCCCGTCACTCTGATTGGACAGTCTGTCCACAGCTGTAATGGCGTAGCGGCCACTGGGCACTGACCAACTGGTTGTATCCTTGTTTAGGATCTTCTTCAACTCCCATGCGTCTGCCTCGTCCTTGTAGACAGCCCAGCTCCTCGTCACCCCGGAACAGTCCTTGTTCCACGTCAAGGTGCTGCCAGAAACCTTGACTCCAGAGGGCGCTGGGGGTGGAGTGACGCCAAGCCATGGCATAGCAGGCGCGAGAGCTGGAACAGTGTAGAGGTCTTTCTGGAACAAGGTGGACAAACCCTTGCTGTTGTCCCGGAAGTACTTGGCGCTGAAGAACACGTCACCAAGGCTTAGCTTGTCACGTCGCTTCCTTGATTCCTCAACCTGACGTTTAATTTCATCAAGAGGCCAGTTTTGATGTACCACATTGCCTGCATAGCTCCCTGCATAGAAATGGCGATGTTTGGAGTTTTGCTGCAGCCACCAGTCCAGCAGGTGCGTGAAACTCTGTTGCGCCGGATCAATCCGCCAGTACAGCTGAGGAGTAAAATAATCAACCCAACCCTCATCAAACCATTTCCTACTGTCTGCGTACTGCGCAGAGTAAGCCGACAGCCCAACTATGCCATGAGGAATCCCTGATTTCCATATTCCAAATGGACTGAGACCAAATTTAACATGCTTCTTGGTTGCCTTGATTCCATTATACAGACGCTGGATAAGCGAGTTGACGTTGTCCCGTCTCCAGTCATCCCGTCCAAGATGGCCGCCTCCGTGTCGATAGGCGTTGTAGGTGGCGTCATCGGGGAAGCTTTGACCTGAAACGGGGTAGGGGTAGAAGTAGTCGTCCATATGGACACCGTCAATGTCGTAACGCTTTACGACATCCATGATGACATTGTAACACTGATCCTGAACTACCTTGGCACCTGGGTCCATCCATAGATCCTTCCCATAGGCATGGGCGTATTGTGAGTATTTGACAGCCATGTGGTTGTGGGCAAGTCCGGCCCTGGATGTACTCCCAGCCCGTGCTCGGTACGGGTTGTACCAGGTGTGGACCTCCATGTTACGTCTGTGGGCCTCCTCCACCACAAAGGTCAAGGGGTCGTAGAAGGGAGAAGGAGCCCTGCCTTGGGAGCCTGTCAAATACGCGCTCCACGGCTCCAGTGTGGAGTTGTACATGGCGTCACCCACTGAGCGGATCTGCAAATATACAGTGAATGGGTTCAGCGCAACCTAACGTCGTATATAATGTACAATAAACTTTATTCGTTAGGCGATGCAGTTGATGAAAATAATTTACAAAAAGGAGAGGGTCGACACGTATTTGCCTGTCTAAATGTTGCATTGTTGTAGAGTAAGTGCGAGAATTGGGTTTAATGTGGCTTTAATCATTTGTTTCAGTTAAATCAAGGAGTGTCAGCTTAATGTATGAGAACTGAAAACCCCAAAACACAGAGTACTAAAAGACCATGGGTCACAGTCAGGGGTAATCCACGATTCAAACCAATGCTCAGCGGATCCTAGTACGGTTCAAGGAGGCAACACTTCACAACAAAGTGTCAGCTGCAGTGCCTTAGATTTCTGGGCCCCGAAATGAATTGAACTATTTATACTTAAAAGAACTTTAAAAATTGTTTTTGACTGTTCTGGCATTAATCATTCAAATTGAACTCCAATGTCTAAAAGTAATTACAACAAAGATGAACTTCTAACACACGATGCTGCGGGAGTTTGGGTATACCTGGAACACGATGGCGTTGAAGTTGAGCTGCTGCAGCTTGTCCAGGAGGAGGACCAGCTCCGCCTTCTGCTGGGAGGTGGAGTGATGGCTGGACAGGGGCCAGTCGATATCCGCCACTGTGGCCACCCACACAGCTCGGAACTCTCTCACTGGCCAGCCATCGTCGCTAGATTTGACGGTCTCTGTTCCACCAAACATTTGATGTTATGTACCTCATTCAACATTATGCACAAAACATTTAACATTATGCACAAAACATTCAACGTCATCAAAAATATTCCATGCCTTTTAACTTCTTGCAGAAATAAACACAATTTACATTCACGGAGGGTTAGACCGGTTCCATTATTGATCGACGAAATATAAGAAATTTAAAATCGTCGCTGCGTTCGGTCGATGTTGAACGTGTAAAATGAACATTTACTGCACGTGAAGCATGGGTATGAAGCATGGGTTTGTTATGGTATCTAAACGGTGCCATGGCAAAATAAGGTCATCAGTCAACAGTGAAACACCTGAGAACATGGCAAGGATACCTGCTGAACAACAAGGGAGAGGAACTGGCATTGCGCAGTTGGGGACAGGTTACGCCCACGTCGCAAATGATCATGGACTGTACGATTGCGACTGCGCTTGGACGTGCTATTTATCGCTACACAGTGTGTTGCGTGGTATCAGGGTCTAGAGTAATAGAGAGATGACAACGACGAGGAATCAACGCCTTCAACGTTTACGTCTGGCACGTCAAGTTCACCCTGACGTTAGCAGCATCGAGTCAAACAACGTGTTCCCTTATGAGGGTAGTTTCCAGCTGGTCAAAGTCGACGCCACAACACCGACGTGGCCAGAGAAAACGACGTCAAATGAACAGACAGATCGGATTGTACATGTATATTCACTGACACATGAATGGGGGACAATTACTGATGACCTCATTAGACGCACGCTACATGCACGATACTGAATCATTGTTCGTTTCTTGTTTACCGCCGCACTCAGCAATATTCCAGCTATATCCTAAATTGACGGCATATGTGGCAACTGTCTGTTGAAGAAATGTACAAAAGATGCGGCGCAGCAGCCCGGCCAGCAGGACTCGAATCTATTTTTAAAGGGATACATTTGTTTCTTTGTTTGTTTGTTTGTTTGTTTGTTGTTTAACGCCGCACTCAGCAATATGCCAGCGATATGAAGGCGGTCTGTAAATAAATCGAGTCTTGACCAGACAATCCAGTGATTAACATCATGAGCATCGATCCCCGCAATTGGGATACGATGACATGCATCGACCAAGTTAGCGAGCCTGACCACCCGATCCCGTTAGTCGCCTCATACTGAATTATTGACATTTATTTAGTGACAGTTATGACCGTGGATATTCACACTTCTTCCTGGGTGTCATTATGTAAAATCGTACATTTACAACTAGTGCTGTTTGTGAACTGTGATGTTGACGTTTCATGGTAATTACCATGTATATCAGTGTTAATATCTCGTCAAAAGGTTAAACTTGTATTTTTTGTCGGTTTTACCAAATTAATCGTTTTTTAAAATAATTTTACTAAAATTGCCATTTACAACTCAAAAGAATTTTGTTATATGACCAATTAATCCGAGATGACAGAATAACAATATCATATGAAACAATTGGGTGTTCTTTAACTACAATGTATTTTGAGTAGTATACTCGGACCCCATGGTACCGCGGCATTCATCGTATCGCGGATTTGTGATTTCCGGTAGTTCACGTGGGACACGCCTCTTAGCAGCTGTCTATTAATGCTAATCAGTAACCAGGAAGTGCTCACTTCGTAAACAATTTCAATTTCCTCGGAATGTTCCGTCTGCTGTAAGTAAGGAGTTATTAATGCGTTGATACATATTTCTGGCATCTGTTGTAATATTGCCTTACCCCCATCTATCAATGGCCAACGATATAACCCGCAGTTCCCCAAGTAAACTTTCTTTATCGACCTGAACTAGATCATCTGCATATTCATTGCGACTAATGAGGTAACGGAAGTTACGTAGTCCGCTGATTTTTTCCCGCTCTGTGCCCAGAATCTATTGGGAGATCATAAGGGCCATAATGCCAAACTTAGAATTACGTTCTTCACTAGTAACCAAAAGATAAATACATACTTTGGGCATACTAGGAGAGCTTTTTATATACATTATTGTTGACTTTTAACATATTTCCATTTTGTGACAAATTATTGTCATCCATTTTTTTTTAAACAATCTTAAAATATCATTTTCTCATACTTTTCGATAAATATGCTTTGAATACCTATTGCTGATAACACATTTAGGATTTTACTTGTGCTGTCTTTGCACTTGTCTGAACAAATCACTGATGTCTGGCATGATCATACCAAGTGGTTGGTAGAATTATGTCCTCTTTTTGTCCAATTCGGACCTCCATACACAACTTTTCTCTGTACCGCGATACGATGGAGTTCTCTCCCTTGTCAAACAGAGCGCGAGGCCCGGCTTTTACTCGGAGCTACTAATGTAAATAATGAACTTTTATCAGTAAAATATGCATTGTTTGATAACATGAATGATATCTGATACAGAGAACACGAATAAACATAAAGGTTAGTGAGTGGATTTTGTTCCGTTCAGCGTACATGACAAGTACCGCGATACCCCGAGGTTGCAGGTATATTTCAGAAATATACAGGTTAATGTCACTTACCAGCCCTTGTGTATTGCACGCCACACAGAATGCACACGAGCGTAATACACTCAAGTAATGTCTTCATCAGGGTTATGATATTACAAAAAATACACTGACTAGATGAAAACCGTGTCACTTGGGCCACAGGGAACGGAAACATGGGATTGCCTAAAAGTCGGGCCGGGCCGGGCCAAGACGGGCCAAAGTGTTATTGGCTAATTACTTAAATATGGGCGATCATATCTACATATTATTGATGCAACATACACACATGACACAACTGAACAATCACCAATCCAAAACGTGCAGCATAATTAAGTAATTCGGAGTAAATCACTTAAAAACTAGAAAGTGGAGCTATGTGTTAGCGTCGCTGATCTAGGTAACATGTAAAAGAGCAATCGTTAAACGAAATAGGATTTGACACGTATCAAATACTTCTAGCTATCGTCATACGAATTTCCATCTGTCGGCATAGCGTTTATATTATAGGAACGTACTATATCTAAGTAAATACCACTTTATAACGTCACTGTTCATCGTATTTAAAGCAGACACGTTGGTTAAAGTAGACCTCTTCTCCCTATACTCTCGACAGTCACACAGTTCGCTCCGACTTGGCCCAGGCTGTCAAAATCAACTTTAAACAGACAGATTTATCTTCAAATGTGATTACCTCTATAGATTAGTGTTATATCTACATATTCACCACTTTATAATGTCACAGATCGCAGTATTTATAGAAAACAAGGGGCTCAAAGTGAAGCCCTTTTCCCTCTACATTCTCAACATAGTCTCTATCAGAAGTGTTTGGCTTGTGTTGGGTCCGACTTGGCCCGGGCGGTCAAAATCAACTTTAAACGCACAGATGTATCTTCAAATGTAATTAAATCTATAGATTAGTGTTATATCTACCTATACACCAATTTATAATGTCCAGGTGTATCGCATTTAAAGGAAACTGCGCCGTTAAAGTGAAGCATTTTTACTGTATTTTCTTAAAAAAATCCAAGTCAGAAATGTTCGGTCCGACCTGGCCCGGGCTGTTAAAATCAACTTAAACCTCACAGATGTATCATCAAATGGATTCACATCTATAGATTAGTATTATATCTACCTATACACCAATTTATAATGTCACAGATTGCAGTATTTATAGAAAACAAGGGGCTCAAAGTGAAGCCCTTTTCCCTCTACATTCTCAACATAGTCTCTATCAGAAGTGTTTGGCTTGTGTTTGGTTCGACTTGGCCCGGGCGGTCAAAATCAACTTTAAACGCACAGATGTATCTTCAAATGTGATTAAATCTATAGATTAGTGTTATATCTACCTATACACCAATTTATAATGTCCAGGTGTATCGCATTTAAAGAAATCTGCGCCGTTAAAGTGAAGCATTTTTACTGTATTTTCTTAAAAAAATCCAAGTCAGAAATGTTCGGTCCGACCTGGCCCGGGCTGTTAAAATCAACTTAAACCTCACAGATGTATCATCAAATGGATTCACATCTATAGATTAGTATTATATCTACTTATACACCACTTTATACTGTCACAGATCGCAGTATTTATAGAAAACAAGGGGCTCAAAGTGAAGCCCTTTTCCCTCTACATTCTCAACATAGTCTCTATCAGAAGTGTTTGGCTTGTGTTGGGTCCGACTTGGCCCGGGCGGTCAAAATCAACTTTAAACGCACAGATGTATCTTGAAATGTGATTAAATCTATAGATTAGTGTTATATCTACCTATACACCAATTTATAATGTCCAGGTGTATCGCATTTAAAGAAATCTGCGCCGTTAAAGTGAAGCATTTTTACTGTATTTTCTTAAAAAAATCCAAGTCAGAAATGTTCGGTCCGAACTGGCCCGGGCTGTTAAAATCAACTTAAACCTCACAGATGTATCTTCAAATGTGATTAAATCTATAGACCAGTGTTATATCTACCTATACACCAATTTATAATGTCACAGATCGCAGTATTTATAGAAAACATGGGGCTCAAAGTGAAGCCCTTTTCCCTCTACATTCTCAACATAGTCTCTATCAGAAGTGTTTGGCTTGTGTTTGGTTCGACTTGGCCCGGGCGGTCAAAATCAACTTTAAACGCACAGATGTATCTTCAAATGTGATTAAATCTATGGATTAGTGTTATATCTACCTATACACCAAAAAAATCCAAGTCAGAAATGCTCGGTCCGACCTGGCCAGGGCTGTTAAGATCAACTTAAACCTCACAGATGTATCTTCAAATGTGATTAAATGTATAGACCAGTGTTATATCTACCTATACACCAATTTATAATGTCCAGGTGTATCGCATTTAAAGAAATCTGCGCCGTTAAAGTGAAGCATTTTTACTGTATTTTCTTTAAAAAATCCAAGTCAGAAATGTTGGGTCCGACCTGGCCCGGGCTGTTAAAATCACCTTAAACCTCACAGATGTATCTTCAAATGTGATTAAATCTATAGATTAGTGTTATATCTACTTATACACCAATTTATAATGTCCAGGTGTATCGCATTTAAAGAAATATGCGCCGTTAAAGTGAAGCATTTTTACTGTATTTTCTTAAAAAGATCCAAGTCAGAAATGTTCGGTCCGACCTGGCCCGGGCTGTTAAAATCAACTTAAACCTCACAGATGTATCATCAAATGGATTCACATCTATAGATTAGTATTATATCTACCTATACACCACTTTATACTGTCACAGGTTGCAGTATTTATAGAAAACAAGGGGCTCAAAGTGAAGCCCTTTTCCCTCTACATTCTCAACATAGTCTCTATCAGAAGTGTTTGGCTTGTGTTGGGTCCGACTTGGCCCGGGCGGTCAAAATCAACTTTAAACGCACAGATGTATCTTGAAATGTGATTAAATCTATGGATTAGTGTTATATCTACCTATACACCAATTTATAATGTCCAGGTGTATCGCATTTAAAGAAATCTGCGCCGTTAAAGTGAAGCATTTTTACTGTATTTTCTTAAAAAAATCCAAGTCAGAAATGTTCGGTCCGAACTGGCCCGGGCTGTTAAAATCAACTTAAACCTCACAGATGTATCTTCAAATGTGATTAAATCTATAGACCAGTGTTATATCTACCTATACACCAATTTATAATGTCACAGATCGCAGTATTTATAGAAAACATGGGGCTCAAAGTGAAGCCCTTTTCCCTCTACATTCTCAACATAGTCTCTATCAGAAGTGTTTGGCTTGTGTTTGGTTCGACTTGGCCCGGGCGGTCAAAATCAACTTTAAACGCACAGATGTATCTTCAAATGTGATTAAATCTATGGATTAGTGTTATATCTACCTATACACCAATTTATAATGTCCAGGTGTATCGCATTTAAAGTAATCTGCGCCGTTAAAGTGAAGCATTTTTACTGTATTTTTCTTTTAAAAAATCCAAGTCAGAAATGTTCGGTCCGACCTGGCCAGGGCTGTTAAGATCAACTTAAACCTCACAGATGTATCTTCAAATGTGATTAAATCTATAGACCAGTGTTATATCTACCTATACACCAATTTATGATGTCCAGGTGTATCGCATTTAAAGAAATCTGCGCCGTTAAAGTGAAGCATTTTTACTGTATTTTCTTAAAAAAATCCAAGTCAGAAATGTTCGGTCCGACCTGGCCCGGGCTGTTAAAATCAACTTAAACCTCACAGATGTATCATAAAATGGATTCATATCTATAGATTAGTATTATATCTACCTATACACCACTTTATACTGTCACAGATTGCAGTATTTATAGAAAACAAGGGGCTCAAAGTGAAGCCCTTTTCCCTCTACATTCTCAACATAGTCTCTATCAGAAGTGTTTGGCTTGTGTTTGGTTCGACTTGGCCCGGACGGTCAAAATCAACTTTAAACACACAGATGTATCTTCAAATGTGATTAAATCTATGGATTAGTGTTATATCTACCTATACACCAATTATAATGTCCAGGTGTATCGCATTTAAAGTAATCTGCGCCGTTAAAGTGAAGCATTTTTACTGTATTTTCTTTAAAAAATTCCAAGTCAGAAATGTTTGGTCCGACCTGGCCCGGGCTGTTAAGATCAACTTAAACCTCACAGATGTATCTTCAAATGTGATTAAATCTATAGACCAGAGTTATATCTACCTATACACCAATTTATAATGTCACAGATCGCAGTATTTATAGAAAACAAGGGGCTCAAAGTGAAGCCCTTTTCCCTCTACATTCTCAACATAGTCTCTATCAGAAGTGTTTGGCTTGTGTTGGGTCCGACTTGGCCCGGGTGGTCAAAATCAACTTTAAACGCACAGATGTATCTTCAAATGTGATTAAATCTATAGATTAGTGTTATATCTACCTATACACCAATTTATAATGTCCAGGTGTATCGCATTTAAAGAAATCTGCGCCGTTAAAGTGAAGCATTTTTACTGTATTTTCTTAAAAAAATCCAAGTCAGAAATGTTCGGTCCGAACTGGCCAGGGCTGTTAAAATCAACTTAAACCTCACAGATGTATCTTCAAATGTGATTAAATCTATAGACCAGTGTTATATCTACCTATACACCAATTTATAATGTCACAGATCGCAGTATTTATAGAAAACATGGGGCTCAAAGTGAAGCCCTTTTCCCTCTACATTCTCAACATAGTCTCTATCAGAAGTGTTTGGCTTGTGTTTGGTTCGACTTGGCCCGGGCGGTCAAAATCAACTTTAAACGCACAGATGTATCTTCAAATGTGATTAAATCTATGGATTAGTGTTATATCTACCTATACACCAAAAAAATCCAAGTCAGAAATGTTCGGTCCGACCTGGCCAGGGCTGTTAAGATCAACTTAAACCTCACAGATGTATCTTCAAATGTGATTAAATGTATAGACCAGTGTTATATCTACCTATACACCAATTTATAATGTCCAGGTGTATCGCATTTAAAGAAATCTGCGCCGTTAAAGTGAAGCATTTTTACTGTATTTTCTTTAAAAAATCCAAGTCAGAAATGTTGGGTCCGACCTGGCCCGGGCTGTTAAAATCACCTTAAACCTCACAGATGTATCTTCAAATGTGATTAAATCTATAGATTAGTGTTATATCTACTTATACACCAATTTATAATGTCCAGGTGTATCGCATTTAAAGAAATCTGCGCCGTTAAAGTGAAGCATTT